ACATAATGATTTGTCGACATATGATTGGTTGTGGATAAAATAATTATTTGTTAATTATTTTGGTTAATTGAATTTTAGAAATAAGATTGTGTTTGAATTGTTTAATTTTGGAAAAACAAAATTTATTCTCTCCTATTTAAAGTGAACGAATTTTAATGGATGGAGGGAAATAGATTTTGTTTCAAAATAGTTTAAAATATATTCCTAATATTAATTATTAATTAGTTTTAAACAATGGAGCTTATTTGATAGATTTTTTTCATTTAAAAAAGATGGTTCACTTTTTTTTTTAGAGAAAGAAAATCTAGAATATTCCATTTGATTAAATTAATTAATATGGATAATGTTTGTGGAAAATATTTATTTAAAATCCAAACAAGAGAATCTTATTTAAAATTTAAATTTTAAAAGGAGTTTGAATCAAGATAGGATTTGGACTTTTGGAAGATCAAAGGATCTTGATTTGAATTGAAACCAACAACCTTATCTCCTAAAGATAAGTGGACGAATTTTTGGAGTCCTTCTCCTTAGGAAATTCGTGGATAAGGTTCATAGAACCTAGCTCAAAAAGTTTGTGATCTTTTGGTTCAAAAAGATTTTCTAGTAAAAATAATTATTAATTATTTTTGGGTAGAAAATTTGTTTTTTGAAAAAGGATCCAGATATTATATTAGGGCTAGTGCTTCATGAAACAAGGGACAATAATAGATCACAAAAGGTGATACACGAATTTTGGGAGAAAGAGAGAGAAAAACATTTTTGGCTTTCTTCAGGATAAGGGAAAAACGTTTTTTGGGATTTTCTGGACTTAAGAATTCGTTCATGGTGTGAGGAAAAATAAGAGAGAAATTTCCATTGAATCAAAACTAAGAGGAAAGGTTTTATCGAGTGAAAAAGATCGAGGTCAACTTGTTTCTGTCTTGATGTTTTGAAGAACGAATCTAGATCGCTATCTTAACAAAGTACGTTAAGGTTGAGAAAGCGGGATCTAGGGTTCATAGTGCAATACCGATCGCTTGGAACCTTACCACGTTGCCCACACACATTCTGAGACAAGGAGCTCGAGAATAGTGGAGAAGATTCGTTGGTGGACGCTCTAAATATTCTGGAGTCCAAGAAACAATGTATGTTTGATAATGCATTTAATTTATTGTTACCTACATCATGAGTCTTCTTTCCTTGTTCGGCATTAAAATTTTAAAACTTCCGCTGCGCCGTAACTCTGATAACTGGATCCGTTTTTCCAACAAAACTCCACCTACTTAATGTTGAAGACTACAATTCCGTATCAACAGATCATCACTACATACGTGAATAGTAAGCATGGTGAGCATATAATTTTCGATACAGATTAGAAGCGTGGTGAGTACTTTTTAAAATTTTTAGAAGCATTCTACAACGCTACTGAATTACTTTCTGGTGTTTATTAGCCTACTGTGCATCTAGTTTTGCATCAACTATTTAATATTTCTTAAACATTTACATATTATTGGGATACTGATCTTTTTGGACCAATAGTTAATCAAATGGAAGCTAAATTTAAAAGTTATTGGGCCAGTTGTCATATATTATATGCGTTAGCAACCATTTTAGATCCTAAGTGCGGATTAGATTGGACCGAATCTTTGATGTCTACCACAACAGAACATTTAGATATTGATATGGAACTAACCATTGTCGAAGCTAGGAATATGTTAGCAAAATTGTTTGGTTTGTATGAAATAAAATATGGAACAGGATAAAAAGAACAGGCAACTTCGATGTCGAGGAGCAGTTCGGGGCCTAAAGGTTCATCATGAAGCTTCTCGAAGAAGAAGGAGAAAGTGGGGTCATCGTCATCAACACAAGCGTCTTCAGAACTAACCAAATATTTTGAAGCAAATTTTGTAATCGATGATGACAAACTGGACATCTTACAATGGCGGAAGAACAAGACAGATCATTTTCCAACACTGTCTATGATAGCACATGATGTTATGACAACTCCAGTGTCAACGGTAGCATCGGATCAAGCATTTAGTGTAAGCAACCGAATTCTTGACAAAAAGAGGAGCAAAATGTATCCAGATATCTTGGATGGACTAATGTGCGTTAAAGACTGGAAAGATGTTAGAAGATGAAAACAACACTATACAGATGATACAATTCAATAATATTTTTCGAACTTAGACATAACAGAATCTTCTGGAAGCAATTCTTCCGTAATGTACTGCACTCTTTTTTCCTTCGTTAAAGTTTTGTCCCGATCTTCTCACGAGTTTTACTTGATAAAATTTTTAACGAGACAGTTACTTATATGTACTTATTTATATTATTTTAGTTTAATAAAATTACATCTTTTGGGACATATGATATATATATTTTTTAATTAAATATTGCAATAAAATTACTAATGTATGTATGCAAAGTTCTGATATCAACTTTTTTTTTTTCCATTTGCCGCCACCTCTATTTTCCCGCCATAAAAAACTCTTTATCAATGATAAAAACTCTTTATCAATGATAAAAAAAAAAAACCAAGGGAAACTCAATTTTGTTCCCGAAAGCTTCGATTTCGCTTCCATGGCGGCATCTTCCAAACTCACGGAGTATGAGCGTAAGCGGCTCGAGAATATCTGCCGCAACGGCGAGTTGATGGCTTCCCTCAAGCTTCACTCCATGGCCACGCAACTCTCCGCCTCAACCAAGCGCCAGAAGTACGGCTCTTCTCTCTCTCCCATTTCATTTCTGCAAATCTCTTCCTTAATCATCGTTTATCATGAGAACTTTTGTCCAGTTTTCTCACTTCAATGGCAGGGACGAGACGACCAAATCGAGCAAAGTTAGTTCGCAGAAGAAACCAAAAACCGATCAGACTCCGATCGTCGTCCGCAGATCTTTGCGTACGAGAGGAATGCCTCCTGATTCGGAAGGACTTCCCTCTGATCTTCTCGATTCGCCGCTCAAGAACCGTAGATCTAAGAGCTCTTCACCGACGAAGCCCTCGCCTCGCAAGTTGGGTCCTCTTAGTATGAGAGAAGCGTATATAGGAGAGGGGTCTCATAGAACCCTACTCGAAACTCTTAAGCGTGTTGAGAAGGAATCTGAAGTGAATGAATCACTAGGAGCGAAAATTGGTGGAGTTAGGATTTGTAAAGGTGAGATATTGAGTGATTCTGTTAAGAAAGAAGAAGACAATGAGGTTGGGGGTTCTTTTGATTTGTGTTCAAAGGTGATTCCTGAGAACATAAGGGCGAGGTTTGGTGGAGATAGGGTTTGTAAAGTTGACAATTTGAGCGATTTGGTCAAGAAAGAAGACAATGAGGTTGGGTTTTCTTCTGATTTGTTTCCAAAGTCGAATTCTGAGAATATAGGAGAGAAATTCAGAGGAGATAGGGTTTGTAAAGGTGAGATTTTGACCGCCTCTGTTAAGAAAGACAGTGAAGTTGGGGGTTGTTTTGATGTGCATTCTATGAATTCAAATGCTGAGAATGTAGGAGCGAAATCAGGTGGAGTTAGGATTTGTAAAGACGAGAATCTGAGCGATTCGATTAAGAAAGAAGAAAATGAAGTTGGCGGTTATTTCGATTTTTATTCGATGACTTTGAATCCCCGGAATATAGCACGGATTTTGCCAGATAGGATTATGCATGCAAGGTTTTTCCCTTGTGCTAGCTCTAGAGTTATTGTGGCCGGGAACAAGCTTGGTGATGTTGGATTTTGGAATCTTGATCCCCAGAGGGATGATGAAGAAACAGAAGATGGGATATACACATATCATTCTCATTCTGGTCCTGTTTCAGGGATTTCGATTCATCAACATTGCTTGTCCAAGGTAACTTTCAGTACATAATCTATGTATATTGTATGCTATTGGTTGCGTTTGGTATGAGGGTTCTAGAACTAGAGTCCATGATTTTGGTTCCAACTTCTGTTTGTTTGCAAAAAGTAAAAAATAGTTCTTGAAAGCCAGTGTTTAGTTTGGATGGTTCTGGTTCAAGGTTTGGACCCTCAGTTGATGTTTTAAACCAAAACCACTCCAAAAAATAAAACCACCCCCCTCTTGGTTTTGGATGGTTCAAACTCTTAGTTCTGATTCCAGTTCCAGAACCATGGTTTGGACCACATGTTCAAATTATGAATCATGGTTCTGATTCTAAAATCAAAATTACCCTGATTTGAACCCTCATACCAAATGTAATTATAGTGTTTTGATTAGTGGATACAACTGAAAATAAGAATCTGGCTCTAAAGATATATTTATAAGTAGCTTAACATTGACCCAAATACGCAAAGATTAGTCTTTTGAAACTTCAAATATTCTTCCTTGTGAAGCTAAACATGTAAACTAGGTTTCAAGGCAATGTCTAGGAAAGCTATCTTTGTTGATTTCTATTTTTTCTCTTGTTTAAGATTTCTAATGTTTAAATGCAGGTCTCTACCAGTTGTTATGACGGTTTTGTAAGGTTGATGGACGCTGAAAAGGAGGTCTTTAATTTGATATATTCTAGCGAGTATTCTATATTTTCCCTTTCTCAACGATCAAATGATCCAAAATGTTTATATTTTGGTGAGGCATGTGGACTCTTGAATATCTGGGATGAGCGAATGGGAAAATGTTCAACTCAAAGTGTTTTGCATGCCGATAGGATTAATTCTATAGACTTTAATTCAGGCAATCCTAACATATTGGCAACTAGTTCCTCAGACGGAAATGTCTGCATTTGGGATTTGAGAAGCATTGATGCAAATAAAACTAAGGCTCTGAAGACTATTAGTCACAAAAGATCTGTACATTCTGCTTATTTTTCGCCATCTGGAAAGTGCCTTGCGACTACAAGGTATGTAGCTACATAGTGTCTTTTCGATCTAAGGACCTTATGGAAAATAATGGTAATAATAATAGAAGTAAACAAATGCGTATAGTGGCAATGTTTTACTTTCTGCTAAAGAGCATGTATCAGGTTTGGGAAATGGAAGTGAAAGCTAATAGGCAACTATTGGCGGGCAGTTTTGCAATCTTCTCTACTGGTTAACATTTTTTGTTTTTACTTTCTGAGTCGAGCTGTGCATCTCTCTTCAATTCGCTCTAGTATACCTTTTCTAGTTGACAGTCTCTGGACCTTTGGTTCTCAAAATGTAGAAATCGAATGGTGTCAAAATTCTTTGCTGCTATCTTTATAGTTATTGTTATACCAACAATGCAGTAAAAAGCCTAACGTCTCTTGCTTAAATGAAATGGTTGAGGAATCCAGTCAGCTAAGTTTGACTAATCTTATTTTGGTGGGATTTTTCAATCTCTTGCAGTTTCGACGACACGGTTGGTGTACATGGTGTTTTGAAGAAACATCATGGGTTCAACATAATAATCAGACAGGCAGATGGATTTCTCCTTTCAAGTATGATTTTTTTTTGTTTGATTTCTAACGTTGCTGTCTCTGTTCTTCCTTTAATCCTTGTACTAATTGCTATATTGTTATCATCTGGTTCTTGTGATTGTTTTCTTTTCTCAAAGTAGCATATGTCTATCATCCACATTTAGGTGCATATATCTTAACGCTTTTTCTCATAATGATTAAGGATGTTTAAATTTCAATCCATATCCCCTTGATCAAGTCCATCCCTAGTTTAAAGTTTCCCTCAAAAATTTAAATATAGATTTCTTTATTGTCTCTGTTCTTCAATTTGGAAAGTTTGAAAGGATGAAAAGTATGGTTGCTCACCAACTATTTCAATTTGTGCCAACAGGGCAATATGGGGGTGGGACGATTCATACGTCTTCATTGGTAATATGAAAAGAGGAGTTGATGTCATTTCCCCATCTCAGAGCAGAACCATTTTCACTTTGCAGAGCCCACACTTATCAGCTATTCCGTGCAGATTTGATGCACACCCTTACAATGTTGGGATGTTAGCAGGAGCCACAGGTGGAGGTCAGGTTTATGTGTGGACATTGAGTTGAGGAATTTAATCCCCCGATTCTTGTATGATTAGATGTTAAATCTCTCTTTCTCGGACCTGTTAATAGTAATCACTTTTAACTATGTTGGACGTTCAATCCTTGTCTGTTTTACTTATTTTATTTGAAATGGATTAGTTAATTATGAGTGCTACAGCTGCTTTATCTTTTCAGTTTGGTATTTTTTCCCCACCATAAAAGTCACTAATGTTACGTTTAGTTGATGGATTCAGAATCATGATTTAGAATTATTCTCGATTTACGTGTATTTTTTGTGAGAAAAAACATTGTAGCAAGTCACGAACTATGATTCGAACTATGGTACGAATCCTTAAACCAAACGCATACTAAGTTATATTTAAGGCATTGACAAAAACGAGCTTGGCTCAATCAAATTAAAGTTGATGGGTAATTTCAGGGTAATGGTCATTCTGAGTTTAACGGAAATGCTAAACTTTTCTCGTCATTTCCACTGTGCAAGTGATTCGCAACTTCCAATCTCTGAGTAATTCATTCAAGAGTTATTATGCTATCAACAAATGTTAAGCGAGTGCTCAAAGCTTTGAGCAACCATCTAATACCAAAATATCGTTTGGCTACGGAGGAAACCAGCCCTTAACAAAATATATTAGTAAAACTCAAAATGAAATCTTCATCGTTATTTTAAAGTAATTCAACATCCACAACTTTTGAAGTAACACTTGAGTTTGTTTTTTGCAAAAGTAACAAAACATACATAAGATAAATTTTTTTTTTTTTAAAAGTAACTTATAAAAAAATTAACATAAAATTTTATATATATATATAATTAAAAAAACTATATATATATGTATATATATGATTTCAGATTCGCGAATTTCGTGGATTGAAAAGTGTTCAATCTTTCAATCCGCAATCCGATCCAAAACCTTCGGATTGGGAAAACCTTAATCTGTGTCCAATACAAAACTATTTTCAATCCAATCCAAAACTTCAGATTGGATTGGATTTCGCGGATCAATCGGATTTGCGGATCCCATGAACACCCGTAATTTTCCTAGAGATTTCAAGAAGATTAAGGGAGGGTTCTAAATTTCTAAGTTTGTAAAATTGGTTGCATGATTCCAATTTGAGTTTTACCTTTCTATTTTGGTCTTTTCGCTCTTGGTTAGCTCTTGGTTAGCTCTTGGGTTAGAGGTATTGCTTATGGATTTCAAAGGATTTGAGGTAGGGTTTACTTATCCTTCTCTTGATTTTTATATTTATTTACTAAATTGAGATTTTACTTTGATTATAGTTTCTAGTATTGTGAATTTTGTTGATTACTTAGTTTTATTGTTAAAAACCTAGTTCTTGTTATGCAAAGTTGTTGCATGTTTTAAAACTCAAGTTTTAATCTAGTTTTGGTGATTCCAAAATGGTTCATGATTGTGAAATTTTAAAGAGAATATTCATGGACTTGATTTGCATGTTTTATAATCTTGTGAGTTTTGGGTTTAATGATGAGATATTTGTTTTATGCCATCATTTGCATTTTCATGAGATATGTATGAAAAATGTCAAGTTGTGAAGGGTTAGCTATATTGATCAATATTTTGGTTGGAATGTTTCTCTTATGAGTAAAGAGTGGCTTAGAAATTTATGACTTTTGAAGTTGTTCGTGAATTGAAGGCAATAAAGCATGTGTGGTGTTTGATGAAATGTCTAGGAGATCAATAATTGGTGTTTAAGTTGCTTCAACCTTAAGTTGATCAAGTTTATGGAATATGAGTTGTGGGTTTAGTTTGACCTCAATTGGACTTGAATAGTACTTGATATAGAGATTTGAGAATATACCTTTATTAAAAGAACTTGAGAGAGAATGGGTGTTAATGACAAATATTCTTTTATTTTAGAGAGCTTTAAGAGTTGGGATTTGTGTGAAGAATTGATCATCAACCATATTAGTGTCTTTAAGGAGAACGCTTAAGTTTATCTTGGTTTTTGAATTGTTCTAAAAGATTTCAATAACTTAAGATGTCAAATCCTCAAGTTGTGTTAAAAACTCGTTGAATCAATGTTAGAGCAGTCCCTCTTTGATCAAGTTATGGATTTTTTTGTAAATGAATCTTGGAGAATGATTTATATATTTGCGGAATAGACATTTCAAACTTTAATTGGAGACTTGAATCACCCCAAAAGAAGTTTTGTAGCTTAAGTTATGAATTTTTAAAGGTATTGGAAAAACTGTCGAATGTACTTTCTAGATAGGTTTGGTTCATACAGATGCTGAGAGTTTTGGGTAATGGATTTCAATAAATGGTTTACATATTTAGAAACTAGAAGTCTAGAGCTTTTCAACAAGCTATCATGTGCCCAATTCGGATAAATATATAATTTTTCATGAATTTTACAGTTAGGTTTGAAACTGTCAAAAACTGTTTGTGTTGATGACTGTCACAACCGGTTAACCGGACGTCACCCGAGAGGAACATTTATTTTGGCCTTTTACAGCCCCACTTGAGGTGTACCAAGCCCTTTTTTAGACGGATGAGTTTCTAACCTTATTAGGTTGTTAATCTTAGGACTTAAGTGATTATTAGAAGGGAGAAAGGGAGAAATATGTCAAGACTTGAGATGAATTAAAATTAATAGGCCAATAGTTTACATAAGTTAATAAATAGGCCAAATTACTGTTTTCGTCTATAACTTGTCTGGTTATAAACCATAACTTGACAAGTTATTGTCCATAACTTGTCTGACTATGAACCATAACTTGACAAGTTTATCCATAACTTATCTGGTTATGAACCATAGCTTGACAAGTTATGGCCTATTAATTTCTATAACTAAAAATTGGCCTATATACTTTCTTAAGCTTTTCATATTGGCATATTTTCTACTATTTTCCTTATTAGAATCCTTTTTGGTGACTTAATTTGGATTGTTTGGTGATGTTTAGAACTAGGACTTTCAAGTTTATTCATGTAATAAAAGCTCAGCTTCTGCTTGTAGCAGAAACGATTTTAGTGTTTAGTAAATCTACTCAAGAGTGCTTTTTGAAAAAATTTTCAAGAATCTACAACTACAATCAGAAGCAGCCTAAAAATAACTTTAGCTTTTAAATTGTGTGAGAATCAACATAGTATAATTAATGAAACTTTCATAATACCTATAACACCCCTAATGAAATTTAAAATTTACAATATTCTCAATCTAAAATTCAAAATCGTAATATAATATAATATAATAGTAATATTGTAACAAATAATATCATAATTATATAATATGTCATTTAATAGTAGTTTTATTGTATTATATTAAATATAATAATAAATATATATTATATTGTAATTATATATATTATATTATAGTATAATATAATATAATAGTAATATTGTAACAAATAATATCATAATTATATAATATGTCATTTAATAGTAGTTTTATTGTATTATATTAAATATAATAATAAATATATATTATATTGTAATTATATATATTATATTATAGTATAATATAATATAATAGTAATATTGTAACAAATAATATCATAATTATATAATATGTCATTTAATAGTAGTTTTATTGTATTATATTAAATATAATAATAAATATATATTATATTGTAATTATATATATTATATTATAGTATAATATAATATAATAGTAATATTGTAACAAATAATATCATAATTATATAATATGTCATTTAATAGTAGTTTTATTGTATTATATTAAATATAATAATAAATATATATTATATTGTAATTATATATATTATATTATAGTATAATATAATATAATAGTAATATTGTAACAAATAATATCATAATTATATAATATGTCATTTAATAGTAGTTTTATTGTATTATATTAAATATAATAATAAATATATATTATATTGTAATTATATATATTATATTATAGTATAATATAGTCGTAATTTTTAACTATCTGCAGCAATTCAACCTCATAATTTACCAAACGCTATTACACTTATTTTAAAACCAGCACAGCTACTATAATTATAGTTTACCAAACACTCAGTTGTTTTTTATAACAGCTACTTCTTCGTTCAGCACAACTAAAAGCAATTGTTTTAAAATCTACAGTACTACCAAACTAAGCCAAAGACTTGTTTTGGAGTATGTGGATGAGTTATTGGCAAGTTTGCCTAACTTAGATGTGAACCCATGAATTAGAACGCTTCTAAGGAACCTAGTATGTTTCACTTGGAGAAGGATATTGGCTTAAATAGGCACTATATTGGTTTAGCACCTTAGATGTTGTTTTATGATATTTTCTTAGACTTTTAAATGAACTTTTCACGTTTTGCTCATAAGCATGTTTTGTGGGATTATCCCTTGTTTTGAAAACACGATACTTGACAAATATTGAATTGAGCATATTCAATTCTTGAATTTTGAGTTGTTCAGCATGAGTTGAACATGCTTTACTTCTTAGACATATTTCATGGGTTTTCACTTCTCGGTTTAAAACTCGGTTTCACTCGGACTTAGAGAATTCGAAAGGATTTTAGGCCCGTTTAGTTCGTTGATTTGAGTTGAGATGTGACTTTATGTGAGAGCTTTTTACTGTAGTAAAAAAAAATGTGACTGTTTCTGAGAGCTTTTGACTGTAGCAAAACTCAAATTTTAAATTCGAATCAGTGAAATGAACGGGACCTTTATTTATATATGTACATATATATATAGCGATTATATGTATATATATGGAAAACCTTCTAAAAAACCTAAGCTCGCAAATCATAGTTTTTCGGAAGTGAGTTTTAGAAAAATGGATTGAATCTCAATGAGATATATGAGTTTTCAAAGGCTATCTAATGAGCATTTTAGATAGTTGATTTTAGCATGATGGCCATAAAGATAGGGATATGGAGATCGTATCCTTAGGGACAGGTTCCAAAACCCGTACGGGCCACTCCGCGGCGTGGGTGTGATTTGGCTTTGCACTAAACTACGTATCAGTATTTTGAAAGAGTAGTTCAAACTACCCGTGTATGAATTTTATCTTTACTTATTTTCTAAATTGTTTAGATATCCTAGTATCTAATATAAATTACAAATACCTAGACTATTTTGATATTGGA